TCTGTAGAACAGGAGCTTCCAGAACCACCACAATCTCCAGATGCAGAGCTAGGTGCAATGAAAAGGGTTGAAGAATGCTCAGATATGCTCAGATGATAGGTAGAATTTGGTGAAGAATTCAGATGATTTTGCAACAGCGGTCAGTCAGCTGCAGATTTCATATGTTCCGTGTTGCTGTTCAGGTGTTCCAAAGAGTGCGCCAAGACGGTTTCTGCCCACCCCCTCTCTTCGCAATCAGACAGAGGACAACGGAACGAGTGTAGACTCGGAGACAAACCGCATTGCTCTTGAGGTTGTTGTTCTACCTAACAACAAATGGAGTGGCACCAGCTTGATCCTTCTGAGCAGTGATTCCTGTCATAAATTGACTGGCATATCATGGTTGGTCATGGTTTTTTTCGTGAAGACGTGTTGCTTGGGTGCCTGCTGATAGTCTTCCCGCTGGAAAGCATCGGATCCTGGTGTGGTGTTTTGATGTTTGCAGTACTTACAATAGCCAACCGGCATACATATTCTGGTTGGTGGTTTGGCACATGAATTTTATGACTTTCCATATATTGGGAATAATGATCCCAACTATCCCAACTGACTTTCATATTTTGCAGAGGGGTAGGTCAACCACCAACCTGTATTTCTCCCTGACCTCAAGTAGATTTTCTTCTGCAGAACAGGAGCTTCCAGAACCACCACAATCTCCAGATGCAGAGCTAGGTGCAATGAAAAGGGTTGAAGAATGCTCAGATGATAGGTAGAATTTGGTGAAGAATTCAGATGATTTTGCAACAGCGGTCAGTCAGCTGCAGATTTCATATGTTCCGTGTTGCTGTTCAGGTGTTCCAAAGAGTGCGCCAAGACGGTTTCTGCCCACCCCCTCTCTTCGCAATCAGACAAAGGACGGAAGAGAGGGGAGAAGTGAGGATGCCATCTCAGTAGCAAAGCCTGGACAGATGGTGATTGATTTGGGGATTGACAGCAAACCCCTATCCCTTTGGGGTAGAGCGAATTGTTTCCTGTAGATTTTGCCTGAAACCAATGCATTCAGGGATTGATACAACTGCCATTTCTCAAGCCCTTGATGAGTCATGGTGGATGATGTTCATGCTCCTCAAATTAATCAGCAGAAACAAGTTCCACGGGGATCTATGGGCTACTGATACTGCTTACCCTCCAGCTATCAAAGTTGGGAATGAGAATGGAGCCTCGCAATGTTAGATAGGAAAAGAACCTACGTGAATGGAGATAGTTCCACTGCCATGATAGATCTTTTGGTGAACCATTTGGGTTCCATATCACGGAAAGAACGCATTTCGGATCCACCGAAGCATCGACGAATTATGGAGGTTCCCAAAATCAGCAGAGCCACCAAGGGGGTTGTCATGTTGTCTTCATTTCTGGTAATTTCAATTTTGCACGCAGCTCGAAACAAGGGGAATTTCATGGTATTGCATCAACAAGAATTGGGATCCACATTTTTTTTTTTGCTGTACAAAATTCCTCCAGTTTCACAGCCAAACATATTTCATCAAGGTGTTTCATAGTATCAAACATATATCTGATATATAGGTGTTTCATATCCGTCCCCAGTAAGAGCTGGAAAAGCCACCGAGTTCATCCCATTTTAAGGGCACGGCACGACGGCGACGTGGCACCGTCCAAGGAGCTCCAAGCAGCGCCAGAGCCAGGTGCCTGTTATGTAGTGTACCCAACGTTAGGATAGAACAGGTTCAATTGAGGATGGGTCAAAACCCTCTCTTTTTTCTCTCTTTTGTCTGATGCTCCCGCTCAGAGGTGGGGATGGGTCAAAACCCTGGTACCTAGTGAACCCCAAAATAGCTGGTAAATGGATGTTCATCCCACTAAAAATGTATCTATAGGTATTGACCCATGCCCAATTCACCCATTTGTTTTGGCCGGATGTCACCAACGTCTATCTCTCTGGGGGTTACTGGTACCATAGTAGGATTTCCCATTATAAACCATCCATTTTCTGGTACCCCCATTTATGGAAGCCTCCACATGTTGTTTATCGTTGATGGGTAGATACGCAGAGATGGCGGATGGCGGGGTCTGCAAACATCGATTCGCGATTCAGCATCTACCATCATGTACACTGGTAGGGAAAACAATAGCATTGATAGGACTCGGTTTTTGCACATACTCAGAAATTATATATAGACATATACATATACATATACATATACATATGATATAATATAATATAATAATATACATATACATATACATATACATATACAAATACATATACATATATACAGATGCGTTCTCTGCATCGTTTTCCGCACCATTTTGGCTGTGGACCTATCATATTCCATCCCTCCTTGGCTATACAACAGATCCATATACAACAATATGTAGATGTATATATATACATATATATATATATATATCTATACATATATAGACGCATGCACCATTTTCTCTCAATGGTATACCGATTGCCGGTGGTTTCCAGATCCCTTTGCGATCGCCGGCCTTTCGAGGCACACCGGAACCCCCATGGTCTCCAGAGGAGTCCGTGGACGTTCCCCGGTGGATCACAGAAAATAGAAAATGTTAGCGAAGTCAGGGTCCCCATCACCTATAAATCTGGGCAAATTTCATCACGACCTCACGTCGTTCTCCCGAGCCCTGGAAATCATCGTTAATTTTAGGGAAATCATCCCCATTCATGGCCGCAAGATTCAGGTTAGTGAAATATTATGGCCTTTACCCATATAAATGGGAAAATCATCTACGAATAGGAACAATATGATCTTTGGGTGTGACTGAAAATAGTTGTTTGGTGTACCGGTATCCCCCCAATCTATGATGGCCATTAAAAGCTAGGACGGCTTTGCAGATCTTCCAACAATGTGGCACCACATTGGGTAAATCCTAGGGAAATGATCTACAGTACATGTATCGATGTTAAAAAAGGAGGGTGAAAACAAAGCTCCCAAAGTGAGGAAGAACTGGGTCGTTTTTCAGCATTTTTAGGCAGGGATTCTGATGGATTCTGCCTAAAAGGTTGTTAAAAGAAAGTTCGGTTCACACCACGGTGACCAGCTGTACTGTATTTTTTCTCGCAGCTGAAGCCAGATGGTTCAAGCTTCGTTTCTAAGTCCATAGGTCCCCATCTGGAGCTGCGACCAGTGCGACCGGTGCGCTGGCGCAGTGTCCCGATTTTCCGTATGATCCGAAGTACATGGCTGCAACTTGTCAGGGAAGCCCTGAAGAGGGCTGGGGGAAACCCCAATTCCCAGGCGATCCAATGGCCAGAAATGCCAGAAATGCCATAGTTGACCATCATTTTTCCGATCATCCAAGGGGACTTTCTACCCCCCTGCGACTTCGGGGCCGCTTTCTGGTTTTCGGTGAAGCGCCCTTTTTTTCGGGCTCTGAAAACCTTGGGAAACCTTCGATTCATTGGTTGGAGACCTCATATTTTCCCTAGAAATCAGCCCGGCCCAGCCGCCCAGACTCGCCCTGTCCAAGGCTCGCATCGACGTTGCATCTTTCTCTACTTGGCAGCAAGGCCTTGTCCCGAAGCTGGGGAATTCGGGGGGCTGGTTGAACATTGAATGGATGTCTACGGTCTACATAAAATATAAATACATACATGATAATAAAATAACAATAATGATAATGATAATAATATTTAATAGTAATAGTGATGATAATAGTAACTTGGTAATAATACCAACAAAAACAATAATGATAATGATAATAATAACATACACATACAGATGTATATAGGTTTATTTGCATACACAGATGTACATGTATATTACAGACATCACACACACACATATATATATATACAGATCTATATATTTTGCATGAACATGGCTGCATGACAGCCAGGACTCAGCATTTGCCCATCGGGAAAACCGACCGGACCGGTGGTTTAGAGTTTAGAACAACCCAATGGCACGACTTTCTGTTGACTGCTGTCAAGTCAGGCCACTCCAAGAGACCTTATGTCTGATGTTGCAAAATACTACGTCTCTTGGCTGAACTTCTTTGGATCTGCATTACCGTGAGTGGACAATAAGCCAAAAAGTAGAAGCCTTAAGGGCATCCCAGGTGTTTTTGTGGCTTTATGGGTACTGTGCAAATGTTTGTTAGCCATTATTTTTTTTTTTCTAGTGGTGTTCAAAAACTCTGTTGGTTGATGACTCTTTTTAGGGGGGTCTTCCCGACCCAACGTTTGGGACCACAATCCATTGACCGAGAAATCCATTGCTGTGGATTGATGCAGGTGTTTTTGGGCTCTGGTAGTCACGTCACTATTGTTCGATTTTTAAAGCCACCATGAAAAAAACAGGAGCACCACTTTTGAATGGAAATTGCATTGAGAAGTTTGTTGGCTGAGTAACCACTCTTGGAGTATCGATGGCAGGGAATCTGTCCGAGTATAATTACTATAGCGAAGGACAATCACTTCAAAAACATCAATTTGTACAAGAAACACAGCAAGTCATGTCTAAGTCGGGAACCGGGGGAAGCTCCAGCGATCAGTGAAACACTAAAAACCTGCACTTGGAAGATCAATATCACATCATATACCCTCTGGTAAATGAACACTTAGCTATGGAAAAATGGCCATTTATAGTTGATTTATCCATTAAAAATGGTGATTGTCCATAGTGTTTTGTATGTTTACCAGAGGGTAGCTATATATGTAAGTACACATAGGCAACATTCAATCCAATCTCTCATTGGGGACATGCAGATGAAGCCTATGACAAGGCAACATGGCCACAAAGCTATTTCCAGACTCTCAAATGCATTTCGACAATTATGCGTATATGCATATACATGCGCATATATATATACACATATTAATAAATATATTTATATGCACACACACACATTTGTGTTGGTTTGTACTTGGAACGTATCCCAATATTTCCCAGCTTTAAACTCTGAATATTCCAACTCCCGAAGATTTTCCAAGCCATCAATGATCATCAATGGCTACACGGCACAGCTTTGCCATGGAAAGCAGGCCGGTAAGCGGTCAGGTTGCTGAGACTGCCATCAGATTTCAGGTCTCCTTGCCCAGCTCAGCTACGTCTAGGACCATCTCAATGCAAAAAAGATTGGCAGATTTGCGTCTCAAACTCTTCGAACAAGCACCCCAGAAAAGTGATTGAATTCCTACACTATACGTATCTACATCTATTATATATATATACATATCATTACCAGGCCACTTGATGTGACCCTTTTGATTTTTTTCATGTTTAACCCCCTGGAGAAGGTTACTTAGATAAAATAATATCAAAGGATCATTTAGCCATTTATCAAAGGGTCACTTAGGCTATCGAAGAGGTCACTTAGCCATCCTTAGGACCCTTTCCAGGCCTTGAATTTGTTTGGGATGAAAATAAGTATGTTGACCCAAATCCTGCACTGTGGCCTAAGTGACCTTTTTCTGACACGCTTTGACACGCATTGACACGCACCACCGCAAAATGCACCAAAATGCTAAGTGACCTCTTTCTACATACTAGGTGACCTTTTCATATGCTAAGTGACCTCTTTCTCGATATCCCCCACCCTTCGACGACACGCTCGTGACACGCATTAAAAAGAGGCAATCGCAATCTAAGCCCCAAAGGACTGTAACAGGTGAGGAAAGTATTTAGCGCGGAACCTGCATCCAAGCCCCATTTGGGAAACTCAAACCCACAAAAAGGTAACCTTGCAAAGAAGAAAAGAGGTCACTTGGCAAACCAGTATGTCATAAGTGGCATCTTTTTCTTTTTGGTCTAAGTGACCTCTAAAAGAGCTCACAAAGAACTTCCTGGTACATATCTACATCAATATATTTGTGAATGAATCATTTAAAATCCATCCTTTCTGGATGACTCCGGGCCCGGAGTCATCGAGTCATCCCCCCTCCCCTGGAACCCGGGCCCACCGAGGACTCGCCTCGCTTGCTGCTCTTCTGGCCGGTGGATGGCTCGTATCGAACGGTGAAGCAGGCGAGGTTTGAAACCGCGGTTCTTTGCCTGGAAATTTCGAATATCCCAAACATGGTTTTGTGTAGCTTGATGGAGAACCATTTTGGTGAATGAACAATTGATAACATGATGTGGAATCTTGGGTACATGGGTTGATGACAGTGGCTAAACATCCGATGTTGAAGTCGCCCATCTCCATTGGTTCCCTCGATGGCAACCATTCGCGAGGTCAAAAAGAATCTGGACTACGTCAAGTTGCTGGGCTCGAAACATCACAGCTTTCAAGCGAGGATGGCGAATGATTGGTGGCTCCATCGTCTAGGTCGTGATTTCGAGGAATTCTTCCACTCCCAACAGATGACAAGTTTCACAGTTCACACCGGCTATGACAAAAACCGGAGAACCCCGAAAAAAACATGGCTTAGCGTCTTTTCCCATTAAACACATGGCCATGAAGTGTGGGATTTCCATTAAAACCGCCTTTTTTTGGGGCTGCTGAGGTCAACTTTAGGTGCTGGTTGCTGTGACGTCTTCCTGGCGCATTACAAAGGCACTGGGATGGGGTGAGCTCGGCTGATGCCCTAGATGTTCATTTTTTTGTTGGATTTTACTGGTTTGCACAGAGATTTAAAGGACCAATTTGATGGGGCATAGGTAGATTAGATTGGATTGGATTGGATTTGATTAGATAGATAATTATATAGATAGATAGTCAAAAATGGACACACACACACATACACATGGGAAATCACAGGGAATTAACCAACGAACAACGATCTACTGCTTTTCATAGGCATTTGTGGGTGGGACAAAGTTGTAAATCATCATCTCCAAAAGTTTTTTCAAGTTTTCCGGGTTGTTAAAGTGTGTGAACTTGGGTCTGTTTTATCATGCTCATCATAGAACAATATAAATCATAATGCCTCGACGTATTTGTGTAACGGTGATGTATATATATATATATACATGGACACCGACAGAGCAGTTTCTGGAGGCAAAAATTTCAGGTTCTGCTGCTCTCATTTGGTACGGGATGCTATTGCCAAATGATGATTTTGATGGATTTAATCAACAGAAATGGGGGATGATGATATACCAGCAACAATGGTTATCTCAGGATCAGAGGGGACTTTCACCAACAAAAAGTATGGATAGAATTGGGTATTTTTCGCTAGTAAATATGGGTTGGTGCTCTCAAACAGTTTGTTTTTTCATCCTCAACTGAGATGATGATCCCCTTGACTCTTCTTTTCCCAGGTTTTTCCCTTACTACGGAGGTAGTCACTCTCCTCATTCTGAGGTCGATCATGGGGCATTTTTTGGTCAGGTGACGCGAAGCTATTTGGAGAGGAGTGGTATCGCCAGAATGTCGTTGGAAACCTGAGTGGCACAGGTGCGGCACGGAGTCGGTACCGGATGGGGCCGGATGGGAGGTTGGGGGCGCGGGGGTGCCACCTAAAAAGTGGCTTTCCAACATGGTAGGGAGTTCAGTTGCCGAGAAGAGTAGTCAGCGCATCCTTTAAACCAGTTGAAAATTGTGGCGCTGATTGAGTGGAAGGAGGCCACAGCTTTGCGAAAGGTTGCCACCCAGCTCTGCACCCAAGGGGTTTGCCCTGAATACCTGGACATACCTGGACATACCTGGACCCTTGAAGCGGAAAGGATACAAATTCAAGTTCATGCAAGCAGCCTACAACAAGGCTCAATTTGAGGAGATCTGAGCGCGTGCGTTTGGAGACACAAACGATCCACAACTTGGCTTATTCGTAAAGCTTTTTTCACTCCTCCATGGTCAATGAGGAGTTATTGAAAAATGTGGTCACCGGAAAATGGGGTATCTATTAGGAACTCTGATTAATATTGGTTGATATATTACACTGATATATTACCATTAATATAGGTCCTCTGCATCAAAAGTGGGGGATCTGCTTAGCCGATTTTGATGGCTATTTTGGTGATGGTGATGATGATGCTGGACCATGGGATACCCATCATAGATAATCTTACAGTAGAATTGGGGCTGGGTCAAACTCTGTCAGACTTCTATTTGGAGGTTTCCGACAAGTCATAGGGGTACCCCCAGTTATCATCCATTTATAAGTCGGATTTTCCATGAAATAAACCAACCTTTCCAGGGGGCCTTTTCAACATCTACAACTACCAAGCATTTCGGTACTGGGCGACCTGGGTCTCCAGGAGCCTTGGGAGACCAAGTACGACTTCGTGTGGGGCTTGGATAGCGATGTCGACCTCACAGGCGAAACCTGAGATGTGGCCAGATTTCAAAAGGCAACACCAAAAAACAATAGTAAAATATAGTAAATGAAGCTCCAAAGAAGATATAGAAACGCGAAGAGCAATATGTTTTGTTCAGCATTTTACCATCGGATCTTTTTTGGGCCCCACGATGAATCTCGTTGACTCTCTATCCATAGCTATGCAGATCTTTCTACAAACGCATGTAGACGTGCACACGCACGACATATACAATACCAATACATATCTAAATATATTATGTTTTTTTTTTTTAAATGTATGATGATGTATTGTATGATATAGTTGTAGACGTGTATACACATTCTACATACATATATACATACATATTACACTCATGCATGCATGCATGCATACATACATATATACATGCATGCATGCATACATACATACATGCATACATACATACATACATACATACATACATTACATTACATTACATTGCATTACATTACATTATATTACATAGATACATAGATACATAGATACATAGAGTTCCATGAAGTGGAGCATACTCACAGTCATCCTTTGGCGTTTTGACAAAGTATGGGGCTAGCCACATTGGATTTTCCGGGGTTTTTCCCATTGCGAATATCCCATTCCCAGTGCTGGTCCGGTCCTTTTCTTAAATGGATCAACAATTATTCACCACATATTCACCACATAACCACATGATTTTTTCACCACATAACCACAATTATTCACCACAATTATTCACATATTCACCACATATTCACCACATATTCACCAGATATTCACCAGATATTCACCAGATATTCACCAGATATTCACCAGATATTCACCACATATTCACCACATATTCACCACATATTCACATTTTTCACCATTTTTCACCAGATATTCACCATTTTTCACCACCATGATTTTTAACGGAAGCATTCCTGGTTTTCGTGGGTCGTCCTTAGTTGGGTCGTGCAGGCACGAACCTCACGAAGCTCTTTCGGATGGTGAAGCAGAGCAACGCCTTGATCGCCGGGCCCACCTTTGTGGGTGCAGGACCGGGGTAGCCCCCCTAGCTTGGCGAAACGTGGACATGGGGTGGGCTACCCCCAGTTGGATGGTGGTACCCCAATGGTTGGATGGTTTTTATAAGGTTTCAATATGGTTATTGTTGTTTTTTTTTTTTTTAATGGTTTATATGGTTTTTATATGTTTTTATATGTTTTTATTTCATGGAAAATCCGAAAAGAAAATTTGGATGAAAACTAGTATATACCCCCATGGCTTGGAAAGCTCCATAAAAAAGGCATGCTTTTATCCAAAGTGTTGCTAACGTGGAAAGGGAGCTGTTCTGTGACCAGAGTGGTGCAAACAGGGAACAGTGGGCTCTTCATTGGGCGGTCAGTGACTGGTCAGTACGCCGGTCAGTGACATGGCCAAAATTGAGAACTGAGAGCTCGGACTCAAGTTGTCAAGGCGATGATAAATAAACTTGGGGGTGTGGCCGCTAGTAACTTCTTTGGCACATAAGACATCTTGATTTGCAGTGAATCATTCACACTCTTTCGCAATTAAGATGTACTCTCACAAAAAAATAGATATGTGCATACACGCACTGTAGATATATATATAGAGTTATGGTTAATAATTAACACATCTGTATATAAATATACATCTAATTATCTATATTCATCATGCATGGTAAACTGATGTTACGTGGTACGTGTAAGATGTATTGGCAGGAGTGAATCAGAGACATCCTGGAGGTGACCTAAAACGACGGAAGGCAAGGGGGAAATCATCGAATCACCGAGTTTTACACCTGCCACAGGTGTTGGGAGCAGCCCCTGTTTTTGTGAGCTTTGGGACAGAGAATTTGGATAGACCAATGGTGACCCTGGAATGAAACATGGGACAGTCATGGACGGGAAATGTTTCTTCAGTAGCAGAATCTTTTGGCAATGGAGATCGACTGTGGAAAAATCGAGGTTCGATTGCTGTCCCATTGCGTAACATACGTAACCATTCCCATTGCGCAATTCGATTTTCCCATAGACCTTGAGAATCGGCCATCCAAAGAGGAAAGTAGTCGGGAGCTCCTATGACAGGGTCCTGTTTAGGTACAGGAACATCATCTATCCCTAGGGATCCTGCGTTGCACTTATTTCATGTCATTTGTTGATGTAGATGTTTTTTGGCCTCAGAAGCTATCCGATGTGTTTTTTTCCTATTTTGCGGGTGGCACTTTGGGCATTAAGAGGCCCTGTCACGGGCTGTCACGGCAAGTCACGCTATTTACCATCAAACGTCTGGATTTTTGATTGGAACTAGTAGACCCGCTACGATCTGTCACGCTTTGTCACGCTTTGAAACTGGAACCCTTTATAAAGAGTACCCCATGAAATGACTCTTCAAATTGCATTTGATGGCCATCAATGGGCTACCATCAAACGATCTCAAAATGTCAGGTTTTTACAAACGTAGGAGGGGATTTCACAGGGTCCAGATGACCGAGGCCCGCCACCGTATGCGTATCTGGGTATACTATATGTAGAATGTTTTTAATGTACATGGTATAACGTTTACTACAACTAATGATGTACAATGTGACATAATTGTGATGTATCATGTATGATTGTCGGAGAACTGCGCGAAGTGCAAGTCGAGGAGACACCAAGGCGATTTGCCTGCAGAGCATGTGGAACCTACAGAGAGTAATGTGGGTGAAACAATAAACCACCCATGACTGGGAATGGTTTCTACATACCACCTATAAAAATGGTGAAATTGGTTGATGGTTTGCGGCATTGTTTTATCTATGCAGTATTTGTCTATGCATACATTGACTATATAGACATGTACCCTCTGGTAAATGAACATAACTATGGAAAATCACCATTTTTAATGGGCAAATCAACTATTTCTATGGCCATTTTCCATAGCTTTTTGTATGTTTACCAGAGGGTATATAGATACATACGGCTATTGCATACGAACCCCAGTGGAACGTTCCGCTGGAGCAGTGTTTGCTCCGGCGGTTCATCCCATAGGCTGCAATTTCAAGCGATGTATTTGGCATTCTTCCTTCTTTTTCACTGTAAATACAGTATTTATGATCATTTATTCAACTACACCCGCAAAGCCATGAAGTGCAGAGCCGCTAGCGGTGATATAGCTCAAAGTTTGATCGAACTTGAAGTTTCCTTGCCAAGTGGACGGTGTGCAACTGTCTCCGTTTTGGAGTCTGGTACCGTTGCTGACCTGAAAAGAGCTGCTCAAAAGTGGTGCAAGGTTTCCTGAGACTTGCGACAGCTGATGGGCATCTTTTGAATCCAACAGACTCTCTTCGACTTTCTGGGCTTCAAGACGGAGACTGTATTGCTGCCGTTGCCCAGCAGCCAAAGATAGCTACAAGTGGGAGTGCGTTTGCTTTGTGGTGTGTTGGGGGTGACAGGATTGTCACATGGGGCGAGGCCCATAATGGTGCTGATAGCTCCACAATCCGACGTGAGCTCAGGAGCGGCCTGTGCCTTTGCTGCGCTCTTGGCAGATGGATCCAGGGATCTGTGGTGACATGGGGCCACGGACCCTCTGGTGGTGACAGCTCCAGAGTCCAGATCGGCTCAGGAACGTGCAGCAGATTTGTAGCACATACACTGCTTTTGCCGCCATTTTGGCAGATGGAAGCGTGGTGACCTGGGGACATCCAGCCAATATGGTGGTGACAGCTCCGGAGTGCTTGCGACCGGGGTCAAGTCATTGGGTACCCGCTGGTTATGACTAACAGTTTGCTATTGAAAATGGTGATTTACAGTGGATTTACCCATTGAACATGGTGATTTTATGTGATTTTCCATAGTGTTTTGTTTGTTTACCAGAGGGTACCCCAAAATTTGTTGAACGTTGAACCCATCCCAGTGACTTCACGGTCCATGGTCAATTTCTGAGAGGAAGGTGGCCTCTTAGCTGCGCTGAAATCATGTTGGACCCATAGGAGTTGATTGTTTGTCATTGAGTCATTGGGTAATCAAGTTGTTAACCACTATTAATTATTATTAACCACTATTAATCATGACTCGTTTTGTTCCTGTGGGATTTCTTGGAAATTCAGCCCAGAATGCCCAAAAAACCTTCTGAACAATCGATGTTCCGACCTTCGAACATCGATGATCCGAATCGAATGCATTGGGTTTTCCAAGCATTTTCCGCTTGGATCTTCATGTTGGCCTCCCCTTCCAGAGGTTCGATTTTTCCATTGATAGGGCCCCATTGAAGTCACCGAACTCGGTTTCGTTGCAGCGAGCTGAGCTCGCCAGGCGCGGCCGCAAGCCCACCAGGCGACGGTGGCGGCACGACGGACCCCGTAAAATCATAGGATTCTTTGAGGCCACAGATTATTTTGCAGCAAAAGTAGTGGTTTCGTACCATCGATGGTAGCAACGGCTAGAAAAAAAACACTGGTTTAAACTATGGAAAATTGCATCTGATAGTACATACATAACATGGTGATAATTGCATCTGAATATTTCAGGGATTTTCAGGGGCACAGCACCAGATAGTCAGCAAGATGGAATTTTCCGAAGCGAAATGGCGAATGTGGGGATGGGTCAAAACCTCTGGGACCATCGGAGCACTTCCGTTGCGCAGGTTGCTGAGGTGACGCCAGATGGGTTGGGGGGCCCTAGCTAGGGCGACCTTCGGTTTCCTCAGGGGGTAGGTGAAAAAATTATCCCCCCTAAATTTGGCCGTCCTTTGGTACCCTCATTACTGTAAGTGGTTTAACATGGCCTTGAAGATCCACTCTTGTATGGGATATCTTGGTAATCAATGCTAATCAAACATGGCGAACGATCCAGGATTTTCCCAGCATTCATAACCTCCATGGTTCGTAACCGGGGAGTTTCGAGGCCGTGTTTGATTAGGAGAGTATGGCGCCATTTTTGTTAGTCAAATCCCTGGAAAAATCACCATAAAATACCACATTTCCCATATTTTCCGGTGTTTTTCCTATATTTTCCTTGGATTGCTGGTAGATTTCCTAGCCAGCCATCTTTGATGACGCCCCGGTTGTCACTGACTGAGATCCCGTGCCCTACTGCTGGACTTTGATCGCAGCAACGACAAACACGTCACGGCCGAGGCATTTGCCATTCCCTGAGGGGGTTGGATTTCCCATGATGTACAACAAGGTGGTGCCCCATAGCTAAGGTTGTTGGCTAAGTATGGTAGATGGTAGACATAACTATAGTGAATGGACTTTATGAAGCAACAAGCATTTTACTGGGCACCACTAAAATGAAGTCATTTTATAATTATTTCAGCATTTCCGACGGAACACCATTATATAATATTATATATATATGCTTGGACTATAACCGCTATAACTACTAGAATCCATATATTCCATGCTTCAGGTTGTCAGCTTATAATTATGGTTTAATAGTCATGGTTATTTTCGTATCAGTGACCCATGGGTTGGAAGTGATCCAAGTGATCCATGAATCCTTGATGAAGTAATTTGCCATTTCTGGGTGAAGAGTTGGACAAAAAAATGGTTGGACATGTAGAAACAAATCCAGAGAATTTCTGAAGATGGTGATGCGAAACTTCTACTAATCTTGACAGTACAAGATGAAGGGGAAGTTGGAGGAGAATCAGGAGGTGACTGAATGCAGTGAGAAGTTGGAGGAGATGAAAAACTTCAGAATGACTACATGTGACTTCATGTGACTTATTCATGCAGTGCCATCAAGCGTAGCTCGGATTCGCCATTCGATGGTAGAAGTTGTCGTGGGTTGTGGTTCCCATGGCTCGCAAAGGTTCAGTGGGAGATCCCTGAAAATCCCATAGGAAAATCCCTGGTTGCCGAAGAAATCCTCCGTTCCCATGGATTCCATGGATCCTCAGTTTTGGTCAAATGGTCCCGGGTCTTCGGCATGTGTCCCAAATCGGGGAATACCAGAGCAATCCCATTTAGGATAGCAACCCCACAAGATAGGTCCCAGGTTCAATTTACCCTCCGGTGATCAAACATGGCTGGCAAATCCCCGAACGAACCATGGCCGGTTTTATATTCTTTTATATAATGTGAAAATCATGGAACCCAATGGTGAACCACTTCTCCAATTGGATCTCACTTTTGGATCCCAACTTGGGCGACACGCCACACAACTGGAGGTCTCTATGTCGCAGGAGATGGGACCGAACTGTTCGGCTTGGTGAATTGTAGAATATATTAAATAAGATCATTCTATCAATCTTACTGTTGTATATTACTATAATTATTACATATCATAATGATATGGGATTGTACAGGAAGGTTTTTGTTGCTCTAATATTTTTTCATAACTGTTACACCATTACTATCATTATGACTTATCACCATTACCATTCTTGTCATCTTACCATTGTTATCACAACCTTGTGATGATATCACTCAGTCCGATGGTTAGGAAAAGGAGGGAAGAGTTCTGGCCACCTTTTGTAGGATTTGATATCGTTGGATGACTATAACCGGAGTTGGCATTAGATGGTGGCCTTCGAGAACTGACAAATCCCAGTCACAATTTCCAACTTCGTTGGGGACTTGGGGACTTGGGGACTTTTTTCAGGATGGATTACCAGAGAGTAATCCCTTCAACGACATCCTTTTTTGCTATTGGACCCAGACTTTTTCGGGAGAATTTCACAAGATTGGCCCAGGATAGCCATGATGTTGGAAGCACTTCAGGCACCGGGTGGATGTTTGAAAAACATGAATCAGCAGGGCAGTTTTAGATTGAAAAACGTGTTGAAGTTGCAGGACGTAGTTTCATTTACTATGGCTTTAGGATGTCAGTTGGGACCATTCGCACCTATGGCACTTCAGTTGGAGATTTCGGATGAGATTTCCCACCCTTTCTGAGGAAATGGTCGACTTCTCCCACGGATGACTTGCTTAACACCGCCCATCAACGATGGCTTAGTAGGGTATTTAGACATCTTATAGGACCATTTGCGGGGTGTTTAATATTAGGGGGATGGGATTAGTAAGGACCATGCAAATCTTTCAGTCGGACCACAGAATTTCTTCTTGGTGCTTCTCATCAAATGCCCCAAGACCAAGAAATTCGAAGACTTGTTGACTCCGATCAATTGAGCTTGCCGCACCCAGCAACCCTGGGCAGCAGAAATGGAATGGTGTTTCCCATGAGTCGAATTTGTAGATTTGCCATCCAAATGCTGTGACCCATTTGGCCCCAGATCGATGAAAAAATTGATGCAGAAAAATGAGGATTTATCATCCATCAAAGGAGTACCTCACAATATTCTTCTGGTCATGTGGTAAAGTTAGCCAATAAACCTCCAATTTTGGAGGGTTAGAATCCGAGCCATTTCGTTTGGGAACAACCAGCCACTTCATCCAATTCCAGTGATTTTAGTCCTGTTCTCACAAAAAAACATATAAAAACATGTGGTTTCAACCAGCAACCACGGGAATTTCACAACAGAAATGGCTCTGTGATGTGATCATCCCGCTGTTACCTGAAGGCTGATTTTCCACCACAAAATTAAGGGTTTGGCCCACAAACAATGGCTGCTATCAAACCAATTTTTCACCCGAAATTGGAAAAACACGATCAATCTACATCAAACGCGAAATCACATGAAATTATAGGTCTTACACTATAGGTTTTATCATGGTTTTCCCCAACATCATTAGTTTCCATTGTTTTCCCATGGTGCTATTGAATATGGTAGATTCACTAGTACTTCCCAAAGATCAATTACACCACCTGTGACTGGGAATGGTTTCTACATACCACCTATAAAAATGGTGACTGGGGGATGGTTTATTGTTTTACCCACATTACGTCATCATCCCAACTGACTTTCACTCCATCATTTTTCAGAGGAGTAGGTGGCTCAACCACCAACCAGCCATGGCTTTCCTATGGATTTTGGTCCCCCATTTGGCGTCGCAGGTGCTGCTAGCTCCATTTGGCGCTTCGAACGACCGGATCCCAACTGCGACGCTTGGGCTGACCCGGGGTGACCCGGGTGACTCCATGGGGATCAGTTACTGCTAGGGAATTCCCAATCATTTAAGATCATGTCTCAGACACAAGGAAATGATTACATAGATTAAATATGATTATATATATAATATATATATATATAATATATATAATATATATATATATATGGAATATCAGATATTGATATTATGGAATATTTAAGGGATTTATCAATCATTTTTGGAGGGATTTATTGGGTATTTACAGGGGATATCACCAACCACAGGGGAATTCTTGTTGCGGCAAACCTCACTTATCCCGTATTTTTTTAAATTCTACTGTTTGTTGAAAATAGGCTCAACAAGCAGATAGAGTATATCATCCATGGTTGATGATCATTTTCCCTATTTTCACATTGCCATTTGGGGAGTATGTTTTTTTCATTTTCAGACACAGCGATGTTGGCGAAAACCAAACTGATCTTCTCATGGCGGATATGGCAGTGGCTTTTCCTCAAAAAAGCTGGGATAAACTATGATAAACCATGATAAACCTTAGATAAACCTAAGAATTCTGGGACTGACCACTGTTGAAAGTGGAGAAGTTGTAACCTGGAGTAGGACCAGTCTTTAGGGGTTTTGTGGGGTTTGATGGCCATGTCGTTTGATTCAGATGACTGTACACCTATTCCACGGCGGTTTAAACTTTTTCAAAGTCCATCCAATTTGCAATGATTTACCCAGTATTCTTGGGATGTCTTTCAGCAACTAAGCAGCTTGCTTCGCCCGGCCTTTTCTTGGATCTGATACTTGGCATGATAGAGCCGGTAAAACCGACTTTGACGATCAAAGATGACATTTCCAACGGCGGAGTTCACCCGATGCTTCAACTACATGTAGCTCTACCCAGTGGCCACGGGAGAAGTTTCGTCCTGCAGTCCTCCAAAGTTGGGGAACTGAAGAATCTGGCGAAGAGCACTGGGTGCAGCTTCCGGCTGGTCACGTCTGGCCATATCCTGGCTGATGAACCTCTGCAAGATGCTGGACTCCACGGTGACCAGCTCACGGCCGCATGTCAGGTGAAGGTGGCAGCCAAGCCTTTGCCTTGTGGTGTAGTGGGGCTGGGATCGTCACATGGGGCGATGGAAAGTTTGGTGGGGACAGCTCTGCGGTGAAAGATCGGGTCAAGGGCGTGCTGCAGGTTGAGGCCACAAGTGCTGCGTTTGCTGCGGTTTTGGCAGATGGAACTGTGGTGACGTGGGGCGCTCCAGACTGTGGAGGTGACAGCTCCACAGTCCAGGATCAGCTGAACAATGTGCAGACCGTTGTCGCCGCCGACACGGCATTTGCTGCGATCCTGGCAGATGGAAGTGTGGTGACATGGGGCGACCCAGAGGATGGGGGTGATAGCTCCAGAGTGCAGCATCAGCTGAACAATGTGCAGCAGATTAGGGCTTCAGCTTTTGCATTTGCTGCAATTCTGGCAGATGATTCGGTTGTGACCTGGGGCAATCCAGGTTTTGGTGGTGACAGCTCTGAAGTCCAAGATGAGCTGACAAACGTTCAGCAGGTTCAGCCCGCAAGTGCTGCTTTTGCTGCCATCCGAGCAGATGGATCTGTTGTCACATGGGGCTGTCCAACCGAAGGTGGGGACAGCTTCACAGTCCAAGATCAGCTGCACAATGTACAGAAGGTTGCAGCCAATGAGTCTGCATTTGCTGCAATTGTGGCCGACGGATCAGTCGTTACCTGGGGCCTCCCAGATTTCGGCAGCGATAGCTCTGCAGTCCAAGATCAGCTTAAGAATGTGCAGCAGATTGCGGCTTCATCTCAGGCATTTGCGGCAATTCTGGCAGATGATTCGGTTGTGACCTGGGGTGATCCAGGTTTTGGGGGTGACAGCTCTACTGTCCAACATCAGCTAGAAAATGTGCAGCAGATTTCTGCCACACACTCTGCTTTTGCCGCGATTTTGGCAGATGGAACTGTAGTGACATGGGGCGGTTCAACGTGTGGTGGTAACAGCTCCAGAGTCCAACATCAGCTCACAAACGTTCAGGAGGTGCACGGAGGAAGAGAGGCTTTCGCTGCCATCCGAGCAGATGGATCTGTGGTCACATGGGGCGATGCGAACAAAGGTGGTGACAGCTCTACAGTCCAGGATCAATTCCTGCGTTTGTAGGTCAAGATGGTCAAGGCTGCGGCTGTGCTTTTCACCAAAACACTCGACATACTTACTACCCAAAAGATGCCTTTGCGGATGTGTCATTGCCACGATGCTTGATAACGATATGATATAATATGATATGATATGATTTGATTTGATATGATATAAAAACAACATGATATGACATGATATGCTATGATAGGATCCGATACAATATGATATGATGATATGATATGATATGATATGATATGATGCACTATACTGTACTATTGTGCAATATAAAACAACATAATGTGATATCATATCATATGCTGTAAGATGATATAATATGTGATCAATTGCATCCCAAAATGGCCAAAGGACCTTAAAATCTTGAGCTTTGTGAATTACTATAGACTGACCTAGAGTGTCCCAGATTTAATATACCCTCCGGTTATTTAACATAGCCCTGGAAAATGGCCCATAGAAATAGATGGTTTACCTATTAATAGCATGGTGATTTTCCATGGCCCAAAATGGTGCCCTTCCCCCTGTGTCACTGTCCTCGGGTCCTCGGGTCCTCGGCTCCTCGGCTCGGCCGAGGACTATCGCCATACGGATTTCGTGGAGCTCACGGCGCCCATTCTGACCATGGCTGCCCTGCCCATGATCTTCAACGACTGCAGCCTGGCTGACGGTGTGACCGGTCACGGCAACATTAGCCAACTGGAAAGGTGATGAATGGTGAAGCATGATAACTGTGATGGTGGTGATGATGATGATGATGAGGAGGAGGAGGAGGCTCCGAGGAGGAGGAGGATGAGGAGGAGGAGGAGGAGGAGGAAAATTGGTTTCCACTCAAGATGTTTGGTGACTTGTGCTGTGCTTTTCAGAAATTTGGATCCATACAGGATGTGCTTGGAAGACTGGGTCCAAGGTGTATGAAAAAGGTCAGCCCCAAGCAGATCTATCAGCAGAATGCTGCGGCTACCCGAGGTAGCAAATGCATCCACGACAAATCTGTTCGGGAACCCAGTGGGCCTGTTAGGGATTCAATCGCGTGGCAGCGGTTTTTCCAGCCGCGAGTCGGTCCGTGATTTCATCGTCTAAGGATTGGGGTTTGGCCGGGGGCCCCAGTGGCAAGGCTCCATTGCGAGGTCATGGTTGTTTTGGTTGGTCTTTAGCATTCCTACATCACCTTCGTGTTGACTCTGGTTGGATTGTTTTCTGTTTTGGTTCATCTTGATTTGCTTCATTCTTCTTTGCTTTAATTATTCTCTCTTTTTCTATCTTCTTTTCAACTTTGGTGCTTCTGCTTTGGTTGTTGCTTTCGAGCTTCAGATGTGAAAGAGTTTCGCTTGGTATTTCGTGTGGTAATCGGAGGTTGTTATAGAGATATTTTTTTTGTTGATAGAACAATGCATGATAGTGGCAAGAGCTATAAAGCAAGTGGATGTCGACAGAGATACATTTCCCAGAGATAGGTCACTGTAGATATTTGGAGGTCCTGCAAATAAGTTGATTTGAACCTTGGGCACCCATGAGCCCTGCTACTGATCAGTTGTCTCCATTATGCTTGGGTCTGTTGACCACCACTTAAGCTCAGCTTGTTGGGCCAATTGGTAGCTTACTACAGGGTTTCAAACTGGCTACTACTCACTTTTGGTAGCTTACATACTGTACATGTGTATATCATATACACGCATATGTAGATGTATATGTATGGATCTCTATGTATATATATATATATCCGATATATCCTCCAGCAAAGATGTCGAAAACATGGCTTAAAGAGGAGACATGATCTAGAAATCGTGGATTTTCCACATCTATGTTGATTTACTGGGGGGGCAAACTACCAACCCAGATTTACCCTGGTCTTTTTTAACTCCGTGAATTTCCAACATGTGAAACTCATGGCGAAGTCCCCGCGTTGAGGACATGGTGTGGTGCAACTTTTTAGCCTCCGAAGCAAAGCAAGCGAGTGGCTCCTTGGCGAAGCAGACCTTTTTGCTGATCCCATGGTTGTCCCAGAGATCAATGATCCCTGGATCTATAGGTTAAATGATCCCATCCTATGGCTAAATGGCTAAATGATTAGATGGTTACCCTCTGGTAATTTATCATAGCTATTGAAAATGGCCATTTATAGTGGATTTACCCATTAAAAATGGTGATTTTCCATAGTTACGTTAGTTTACCAGAGGTTAAATGATTAGATGTGCGTTTTTTCCATGAAATCACATGAAATCGCTGGGTTTAATGTTGTTGGTGTTGATTTGGGATGAAACCATCCCTAATGACTCACCAGAAATAGCTGCGGTTCCAACCCTCCAAAATTAGAAGTTTATTGGGTTTACGACATCATCATATATATATATATGTAACTAATCTATAACTGATATAACCCAGAAAAAACCAATGGGATTAACGTATAAACCACGTGTTTTAGGGAGACAAACATGTGGATCCAGCGGAACACATTTCAGCTGGAGGGGTTTCAATGACCTTCTGTCCTTGCGTTGGAGTTGGGGCCTCCACCACCAGATACAATTTTGGGTCTGACATCAGCGTTTCGATGACAAATGGTGGCTTTTCGAGCTGAGAGAATCATGCACTATGCTGCAAGGACAATTTATTTTATTTTTTTCAAGGGGCACCTGCTGTACTGTAGGCAAGCTGCAAGAAATTGGAACCCGAGCCCTGAGGTTGTGCATTGATTGATGCCACACCGGTGAACCACCTCAATTGGAAGCAGGTGACAACCGCAGTTGGTAGCAGCTGGGATCTGGAAAGTGGGGATGTTCCCTTTTAGGCCTTAGCTTAGGAACCTCCCTTTTACGTACCTGAACTGTTCTGGTAAGCCGGTCGAACCCGGTAGGTCTTGCATGGCGGCAGACTCGCTGTTGAAATGTTGGTGGTTGGGCTAGAAGAAAGTCTGCCATTCCAGGGATTCCGTTTAGAACCACCTGGGCGATGCCGCATCCCAACAGTTTCGATGATCCAAGCTGAGCTTGGGCACGTCCCAAGATATCTGCTTCGGGTTAGAAAGTGATTACTTGCAAGGTTCATGTACCAACATTTGGGGTTTGGATGGGTTTGGGTGTTTGCAGATTTGGCCCGTCTCATGACCATTCGCTCACCTAGTGACTGGTGCTTTTCTTTTTCACCGTCAAGTTGTCCACAGGCCTTACCTTCGAAGGTCTTTTATGCAGCTGGGCGGAAATGGGACACCGTGACTGTGACTACAGGGGATATACTTGGAGGATCATCCCACTTAGTAGCTGGTCACTCACCCTGGTTAGAAAGTCCTCTAAGTGGGTTATCCCATATATATTGTATGATTATAAATATATACGAATATATATATATATATTAATGTATATTAATGTATATTAATGTATATTAATGTATATTAATGTATATTAATGTATATTAATGTATATTATATATGTTGAACTATTGATATTGGCACATCTACAAACTGCCTAGACTTCGCTGCTTCGCTGCAACGTATCCCCGCTGCATGGTGACCAAGGAAGCCAACCGAGAGGTGCATCGCAAGTACCGTCCCGGGGGACCCAGGGACCCGGTTGGGGGCTCCGGGTTGGGCTCCGGGTTCGCAATGTGGGGCCCCCGGCCACGATAGCGTGAAAAGTTGGTGCACAAATCACTCCAATAACTATGGTTTATGGTACGCAAATAACTATAGTAATATAGTATTCATGGGGTTTATAAACCAACTTATAACTGGGGGGCCCCACATTCTAGGTCATTTGGTCTAGGCTAACGGTTGGGTTTATGGGGGATGGAACTAGTGAACTGGTTTGATAAGCCAACTTGGAACTGGGGGGCACCACTTTGGATCCCGATTTTTGATGGGAAATATGGGGAAGACTGTATCCATGGTGGAATTTCTCCTCCTCTACGCTGGGGTTTGTTGGGAACATCTACGAGAAGCCCTACAGTTTTCACTGATCCATCGTTTTCCCAATAGTTAACCATCCCCAAATTTTATTTGAATTATCGGAATTATCGGAATTTGATTTGATGATCAAAAAGTGGAGGACTATGAACACTCAGATTCACGATCAGGGGTAAACATAGCGTCAGCATAGCAAACAGTCAAATTGATCCAAAGACTTGCTGGTGCTTTCATTTCCTTTTTATATTCAACCCTATAGAAATGGGATGATGACCGCAGCTGACGAGCATATTTATATCACCAGCTCAAGCAGCATCAGCATATCCCATACAAAATCCCATGATATCCCCATATGATATGGTTGGTCAGTGTTAGTCATAAATTCATCACCTTAAAAATGGTCCTAAACTCAGAGATTTTGATGACCTCGGACGGGCAGCGGGTTCCGTTCCCAGGTCGCTTCTGGTCACATTTCAAGACCTTAAGCTGCGTGGTGGTCGAGCCCGCAGTGGTCATCCCACCCATGCAGGAGACCGCAGCAGGGTTGCGCCCTTTTGGTGGGGTTGGATGGTTTTCGGATGGTGACCTCTAAAGTTTCGGGGAGCAGTGTTCGAGGTTGCTGCTGGCCGATTTCAGGCATATCAGTCAAATTTCTTGATGATTTCCTCATTTTTTTCTGCCGGGTCTATCTTTGTTGTTCTTCTTTGATAGCTTTAATATGGGTAAAACAATGCCATAAACCATCCCCCAGTCATCACCATAAATATATAGGTGATATGTAGAAACCATTCCCAGTCATGGTCCCAAATGGGTGGCTTATGGCATTGTTTTATATGTTTTACCCACATGAATCCCTTCCAAAGTTCCCCCATCAATTTCCAGGGCTTAAACCTTGGACATCGCCTGGTGCGCAAAGAATCAGGCGCGACTGGCCACGATTTGGTAGATGATTTACCTGGATTCTAGTCATTTGGCTATAGCTATTTGATGCTATTTGATGCTATTTATGTCATTACTGAAATGTCTAGTTTTTTTTTTTTTTAATGGGATGATAGTCGTGGGATATTGATTTTACTCATTTGGCTATTTCTAGGTGATTGATTGGGATGATTGTGGGACGGTGGGATATCGTGGGAATGTAAGCAACAAAGAATGATGATGTACCTATTTTCCATATATTTTCATGGTGGTTTTCTACACATAGCAAAGTGTCAACGATTGCCACTAAGTAGATGGCAGGAATTCACAGGGCCACAGGGTGAATTTTCCTCCAAAAGCTCGTCCCATGGAAAGTATCCATGGAACATAGGAGCAACATGTTTGAATTCATGTTTTGAACATCAATCATTAAATAAAATTCAAAGTTCATGTTAGGACCGTTAGGACCCAAGAGTAAATTAACAGAAACAAATATGGAAAACCCAAGATGTATAGATCACTGAGGTTTCCCCATGGGTTGATCTATGAGCCCAGACCGGCGCAAGGATAGAGTCATGCCGCGACGTGAAACATCTGCCGCTCCTCCTGGTTTTGGTCCTGTCAAGAAACTCGGGGATTAGCCTCCGGCAATTAATGGTGATATTTCCATGGGAAATTTCATGGGGTAACTGTAGATATATACAGCCACTGCTAATTTGTGATAGCTATGATTTTTTTCGTTGGCGCCAGTTGGTTTTTTTCTGGTTTACCACTCTTAAAAACCCGTGAGTTTTGATAGCCATGTTAAATTACCAGAGGGTAGACTCATGACTTTAATTTCGATCTTTCATGATGAATGATGATTTTTGGACCGTGGATTTCCGACGATGAAATTTCAAAGGCAGATTCCACGGGGTCGAGTTTTCTTCAAGAAAGACGAAGTGGGAAGGAAGCCTTCAAGATATGGCTTCAGAAAAGAAACAATGTTCATTCATCTTGGAGCTCAATGCTCACATTTTGTTAATCTTCCCATTTCAAAGGGGGAACTCCCAAATTTTACGGATCAGATCCTCCAATTGTCTCCAATTGTATATATATATATATGTATATATATATATATATGTATATGTGTATATATATATACACAGATATACAATGATATGGATCAGATCCTCCAAATATCTCCAATTTCAGGCTCCCATGTTCGCAACTCATCAAGTCCGAAACAATTTCATGGTCTCACCTCCTACAGCTACGACCGCATCTTTCCAAGGACCGCAGCCCGCCGCAAGATCCACGGCAGACACAACTGGCAATCGCGGCAGAAATTTGGGTTTCGCTGGTGACCGCTGGTGGTTTTGTTGAGATGTCCCCACATGGTTGGCTGATTCGTAGAGGAACAACGGCCATTACCAATTTTTTCGCCCTGAAAAAGCAGGCGGTTGGGCATGATGAAAATCTCCTGAGAGTTGAGGATCATGAAAGCATCGTGGCCTTTTTCCTGCAAAAAAAACACAAAACATGTGGGTATGAGAGCCAAACTTGTACAACAGTGGAAATGGCCGGGGTTGCCTTACATGTTGCCTTTAGTGACATAACATACCTGTTGCTATTGGTTATTATCCCTACTCCATACTTGCGATTCCTTTTGGTATGATGTGAACTCCAGGGTTTCCATGTGGGGAACCGGCTACCCATATGGGTTTGTTATCTTAATTTACCTCTGAAAATGTCCACTTGGGGGTCCCATTTTCAGACACACCCCCAGATCATGTTATTGGTTTGATATCCGCATTGAATTCCACGAAATTCAACCACAATCCATCAAAATCCCTACTAACATCCAATTAATAATCCATTGAAATCCATCAAAGTCCACTAAAATCTACTAGAACCCACAAAAACTCATTAACATCCATCAGTTTTCTCTAACATCCACTAAAATCCCCTTGGGTTCTCCGCCAACTTCTTGGTGTGACCTCGCCTCACGGGCGTCGACGGTCAGGAGAAATCTCCCCAGCGACGACGGCTCTTTGAAGAGGAGGCTATGGCAATTTAACCAAGACATGGGGTTTTCCATAAGGGATACCCAATAGCTGGATGGTTTATAACCCATAGGATCCATGGTGCTGGTATATATGCTAACATTGGGGGTATATTGATGGTAAATGTTACCATATATAGCATACATGGATCCTATGGGTAATGGAAAATCCTATAAAAATAGATGATTTAGGGGATTTTTCACCAACGACATATGCAAAATCGTCAACCCAAAAAAGTGACCATGGTGATTTATATGTCATGGCCTATTTTCTTGAAGATGGTATATGGTGATTTAATGGACCAAGAAATATCTAAGCAAAAATAGCGATATGATTCTGAAAGTGGCTTCTCCATACTGAAAAAAACGACATCCGTATACCATGCAAAATCGTATTTCCAATCGATTATAGGTTAGGACTGCTCCAATACTCCTGATTTAAGCAAAATGGAGATTTTAAAACCAAACATCAACATGGGGATATTGTAGTGATGCTTTAACACATCCAGGCATGGTGAGAGATTTTCGCTGATCCAGGCATGGTGGTTGGTTCGACTGTTGATTTCCATCAAATCCATTGGTGAAACTCCACAGTTCAGTGGTTTTTCACGCCATTTTAGTTCGTTCAACTCCCAATTTTGGGGACCAGTGAATACAGTGGAGTTCAACCAGTCTAACCAATCCACTTTTTTGGTGCTCTAAGTGATCCCATGGTGCTCTAAGTGATCCGGTGCTCTAAGTGATCCACTTTCAGGTGCTCTAAGTGATCCCTTAGCCCCTTTTGAGCCACTTGAATGGGTTAAACTGGTGTTTCACCCAGTAAAAGACAGCGAAGACAGCACTGTTTCGGCAGGCACCCGAGCCTCCGTTGGCCCCGGAGGCGCGGACCCGAGGAAAATCCATGGTAAATCCACTGAAAATCAGTGAAAACCCAGGGTAAATGGATACTTTTCGGATTTTTTTTTTGGGGGTTACTTGGAAGGCAAGATGGTGGAAACAGCAACAGGTTGGATTTTTGGGAGCAAAATCATATGGTGGATAGAATTAGCAAACACTTGGATGAAACTAACAAAGATGGGGATACACCGGTAGACATTGAGGTGAAATTAGCAAAGATAGAGATACAATAGAAAAAATCGGCCAGAGTTTGTGCATGGCTATAGAGTCAACAAAGCACAGGTATGAACAGAGATACAGTGAACAGTACATGGGGTGCAGTGCGGATATCGCAAGCACATTATTGACCCCCTCAAACCCGGATGGGTGATGATCTAGAGCAATATGCCTCAACATCGTTCGATGCCACAGAATTTTGAACATCATGTGCTAAACCCAACAACAAACCATGCCCAGTGCACCCAATTCTACCCTTTGGGAGTTTGTAAAATTTTGTAAACAGTATCCCCCAAACAAAGGGTCTCACCATGTCTCACCTATAACCGGGCTTGTCTGAACATATTAGGAAAGCCACAAACTCCCATGGTTTATCACTAGTTTCCACCTGGAAATTACCATGTCTCGGTGGACAAACTCAGGTGGTATTTTCTCCTTAGAAACTTCAACAAAAACAGCCCAGTTACCCTGGGTAAACGAACAGTTCGATGTGGAAAAACCCAGGCTTTCCTTCGGAAAACAATCTACAAATTGTGGATTTCCCCACATCTCTGTCCATTTACCCCAGGTATCCTCCGGGAAACAAACATGGCGACATATCACAGGTAGAACATGACGCTGACGCCCTCGGGTGTCCTGCAGGCGCGTCGAGTCGGCAATGGCTATACCAAGCGAGCCCTGAAAAGATGAGGAAGATCCGCTTCTAAAATAGTGATGAACTATGTATTGTTTCTTTTTGGGGGGCTTACCATAGATGATAGCCATGTATATATATATATATACAAACCACACACATATATATATATAATATATACATACATACATATATATATACATATATATATATATATATATGCGTATATATACATATACATATATATATATATACACATCATCCAGAAACATGGCACTAGCACAAATCTTTAAAACAATGAAGCTGGAGCATGTGGCGGCTCCGGGAAAGTCCCACATGGTTCCCCACTGGAAGCCAAGAAACATGGCTGTGGGATGTCGTGGGTCAAAATTTATCAATCCAATGCATGAATCGCACATTTTTTTTCCTATCTCTCCCGTTGATGTTGCCGCATTTGCGTGCAGTATGACTATCTCAAAATGACCTCGCCAAGATTGTGGCTTTGTTTTATCCAGCTTTCTTATGCTTTATCTTCAGCCGGATTCGTTGGATCTCATGATAATCACCAAGATGTATTGGAAGCTGGCTGAAGCAAAAAAGTCACAATGTCAAAAGTTGTCGATGAATCCTTCGAACATGTCTGGAGTAATCCCTGAATCATATTTTGGTCGGGGGGAAGGAAGTTATTTAGGTCAAAACCAGCCCTTTGGTACCCCATTTGTGAACCAAATAATTCCTTCCGAACATCGAATACTCAGAACCTCCTGGCCTCCTGACGAATCCCAGGGCCAAACTGGCCAAACGGCCGGCAGGACCGCAGGCGCCCTTTCGTTTCAGAACGGGAACAGGGCTTTGACGCTTTGATAATGGCAATGTGAATGGGATATAAGGGGACAATCATCTACAAATGAAGATACAATGAAGATATATTGAAGATATAATGAAATTATAATGAAGATAACTAAGCAGTTGCTTTTTGATGCCTATAATCAACCGTTTTATGGACATATATTAATATCTATACATATGTATATAATGTGCATATGTCCAACCATATGGGATTTTAGTGGGATAATAATCTATAAATGGCCTTGTTAGTGGGATATAACGGTACAATCATGAATATGAACAACTGAAGGATACAATTCGGACATGGGATATTACCAAGAATGGATCGATTTTGGATTCCGCCAGCAGTAACCATCATATTTTGGAGGATTTTGGTGGCCCCGCTTTGGTAAGAACCTGATAGATTTTGGTATTTTTTTGAAGCATTGACCGTGCCATCTGATTTTTTCGGTACTTTTTGACCAAACTCCAAAAGCACGAAACTCCGGGGATATCAATGGCCTGCCGATGTGAACGAGCACCATGACGGCTTGAGGTTACCAGCCAACAGAGACTTTCAGTTTTGGGCATGGTGATATTTATATGTACATATACAACCACTAGAAGTGCAACGCTTAGCCGAAAAACAGTGCAAACTAACCCGAGTAGACCTTGGCAAAATGAAGATGCTGCAAATTGGTAGAGAACACCACCATGATATTTCACACCGCTTAACAACGACGATCAATGGCACACCGTCGATGCTGCCATGCACTGACCTATTTAGTTGCCTTCGGCAAGGCCGCTGGCCATAGTGGCCCCAAGTGAGTTTGACGTGCACTCTAGGTGGTTGACCGCATATCAAATGAGTACCGCCCCCTGCAAAGTAGCGCCAGGTACTATGTATGAGCCTGTGGCTTGACAGCAGCATGAAAGGGGACAGGGTGGAAGCGGAGAGAGGTTGCCCCAAGGGAGGTTGACCTGCACACTAGGTGCAAGCCTGACAGAGAAGCAGAAGATAAGAGAAGACAAGAGAAGATAAGAGAAGATAAAATAGATAAGAGAAGAAGAACAAAAAGAAGAAGAAGAAAAAGAAGAAGAAGAAGAAGAAGAAGAAAAAACATAATAATAATAAGACGAAGAAGAAGAAGAAGAAGAGGAAGAGGAAGAGGAAGAGGAAGAGGAAGAGGAAGAGGAAGAGGAAGAGGAAGAGGAAGAGGAAGAAAAGGAAGAAGAAGAAGAAGAAGAAGAAAAAGAAGAAGAAGAAGAAGAAGAAGAAAAAGAAGAAGAAGAGGAAGAAGAGGAAGACGAGGAAGACGAGGAAGAAGAGGAAGAAGAGGAAGAAGAGGAAGAAGAGGAAGAAGAGGAAGAAGAGGAAGAAGAGGAAGACGAGGAAGAAGAGGAAGAAGAGGAAGAAGAGGAAGAAGAGGAAGAAGAGGAAGAAGAGGAAGAAGAGGAAGAAGAGGAAGAAGAGGAAGAAGAGGAAGAAGAGGAAGAAGAGGAAGAAGAGGAAGAAGAGGAAGAAGAGGAAGAAGAGGGAAGAAGAGGGAAGAAGAGGGAAAAAGAGGAAGAAGAGGAAGAAGAGGAAGAAGAGGAAGAAGAGGAAGAAGAGGAAGAAGAGGAAGAAGAGGAAGAAGAGGAAGAGGAGGAAGAGGAGGAAGAGGAGGAAGAGGAGGAAGAGGAGGAAGAGGAGGAAGAGGAGGAAG